GTCTCCAAACTCACAAATATTCTCTGGAATGCTGGGATTAAAGGTGTGGATCATCTTGCCCTGCCTTGTTGGGCATTTTCTTGGTTAATGATTGGTATGGGAGGTCCTAGGCCACTGGGACAGTGCTGCCCTATGGTAGTTGATAACGGGTTTTATAAGAAAATGGAGCTGAGAAGGGCAGTGGTGCTGCACACATTTAATCCCAGCATTCTGGAGGCAGAGGAAGGCAGATCTCTGAGTTCAAGGCCAATGTGGTCTACAGAGTGAGTTCCAGGACAACCAGGTCTACACAGAGAAGCTCAGTCTCAAAAAACAAAAACAAAAGACAAAACAACCAACCAAACAAACAAAAGAAAATGGGACTGAGCAAGCCATGGGGAATAAGAGGATAAGCAGCATCCCTCCATGGCCTCTGATTCCAGGGTAAGCAGCATCCCTCCATGGCCTCTGATTCCAGGTTACTGCCTTGAGTTCCTGCCTTGGTTTCCCCTGATGATGGACTGTATGTGACCCACAAGCCATGTAAACTCTTTCCACCACAAGTTACTTTTGGTCATTGCCTTAGCAACTTTTCTATTATCGTGACAAAACATCGTGATCAAGACAACTTATAGAAGAAAGCATTTAATTGGGGGCTGGTTTACAGTTCAGAGGGTGAGTCCACCATGGCAGGGAGCATGGCAGCAGGCTGACAGGCATGGTGCTGGAGCAGTAGCACAGAGCTTACATATTAAGATAACAACCACGAGGCAGAGAGAGAGAGAGAGAAGTCAAGATGGAGATTGAGAGGGAGGGAGAGAGAGGAATAGGAAGAGGGAGGGGGAGGGGGAGGGGGAGGGGGAGGGAGAGGGAGAGGGGAAGGAGGGGGGAGAGAGAGAGAGAGAGAGAGAGAGAGAGAGAGAGAGAGAGAGAGCCCTCACTGGGAGTGGTGTGTGGGCTTTTGAAATCTCAAAGCCCAACCCTAGTGACACACCTCTTTCAAGGAAGCCACATCTCCTAACACTCCCCAAACAGTTCTAGCAACTATGGACCAAGCATTCAAATGTTTGAGCTTATGGGACCATTTTCATTCCAGCCACCCCAGTCACAGCGTTTATTACAGCAATAGCAGACATGATAATTCTCTCCCCCACTCCTCCCAGGTCTACCCTGCCTTCTCTACCCACCCACCTTTGTGGTCTCTTAGATTTTTTTAATCTACCAATCTAATTTTTCTGCTCATATACCCTTGGGTGTGTGGCCTTTCATCGCAGCATGGCTAACTTGCTAGGCCTGAACCCTTAAAGAAAACCCACTCTCCCTCTCCCAGCAGCTATCAACTGCCAATGGTTCCTTGGCTAGGGGCGGGACTTTGTGCCCATCTCCCTTCTCCATGCTGGGATGCGGTCTGGCCTGAGCTTGTGCAGATGCTGTGCACTGTCACGATTGCTGTGCTGTGAGTCCACACGTGTGAGCAGGGGCTGTGTCTGGAAAACAACTTCCCTGTAGTCATCCGCCATGTCTGCCTCTTGCAGTTCTTCTCTCTCCTCTTCTGCAGTGGTCTGTGAGCCCTGGGGGAAGAGGATGTGGTACAGATGTCCCAAGTGCAAAGGAACATAGTCCGAAAACTGACACATGCTGCCTAAACACAGCCAGTTTAGAGTGCTGGTTTAGGAGGCTTCACCACAAACTGCCTTTGTTTTCCCAACCCTGGTTTGACTGTGAAGGTAAAATTCCCTTCTCTGTCCTTAGCACTGGGTCACTGTTGGCCATTGGAAGTCCCTGCAGTCCTGTTTCAACAGCAGTGGCAGGTCTGCTTTAATGTGACCCTCCCACATTACAGGCTAGTTGGCTGTTTGGACACTTGGAGGAGTGAGGACCAGAGGGTCCTCCCATGCAAGTGACTTGGAGGTGTCTTTTCACCATGGCTCCCAGCCTCAGGACTGGGGGAGGGGAATGCTGTAGGGAGGGAGTACCACCAGGGCCTCGGCAGAGTCTGAAGCACTCCTAATCACGCTAACATTCTCTGTTGACCTGGGGGTCTCTGCAGAAATGGTGTGCATGGCTGCTCCTGAGAGAAATTTCACCTCCTCATGAGCCCCCTCAGCAGTGGAGGTTATTACCAGAAAGAGGAGCAGCTGCACCCACTGCTCCCTGAGGAAGGGTTTGCCTACCTTCACCTACCCAATGCCTTCACCTGAAACTCAGTGGTCTTTCCAACCCAAGTGACCAAGTGGCAGAGATGAATAGAACATCACCCTATCTGTCTGGCACACTGCCAATACCCTTCAAACTCTGATGATATGGACTATTCCATCCTTCCAAAATACCAAGATGAGGAGCAAGCACCAGAGTGTTCAGGGGTTTCCCCCAGGACCCCCTCACCACACTCCTGTCTGCCAGGCAGGGTGTGGGGTCAGCTGGCAGGCTGTATCACCTGCTATGAAACCTGCTGAGGGCTCAGGAGACTCGTCCTTTTCTTCTGGGCACCTGAACCCACATGAAGACATCTAACTCTGCAACTACTTTTTTTCCTCACAGAAGAGCAACTCTAGTCCTGTTGGCTACTCAAAGTCCCTGCAGTCTCGGTTCAACTCTAATGGCAGGTCGGCTCTAAGGCCCCCCTCAAGCAGTGTGGGTTAGCTGTCCTGTCCACTCCCTGAGTTCTTTTCCACATGCACAAGAAAGAGCAGGAGTGAGAGGTGAAGGAGAGGTTGAGACTGAGAGCCTGCACTCTGCCTCCTCCCAGACTTTGGGGGCTCTGAGGTCGGGCTCAGCTTCTTGCACGAATTCTCCGGGGTGTGGAACAATCAGAGCCTCTTCATCCTCTCAGGTGTAGGCAACAGGAGAAAGGGATTCATCAGCAAAATTTCAAATTCAGCTGCCAAAGAAGGCATTGTGCAATTCTCGATTTTTCCAGGTTTACATTTTGAAATTTCTGGTTATGGTAAAGAAAATCCAGGCTCACACTCCGAGAACATGTATTTAGACCCAAGTTCCTTGTTGGTGGAGTCCTTGCAAACTTGCAGGCAATAGTCCAATGCTATGGAGTAATCTACGGGAAATGCAGGTTGGGTCCATTTACAGTAAGTTAGTGTTGGGTCTGATGTGGGTTGTTCCTGTATGTGCTGGAGAGATGCAATGCACTGTGGATCAATCTGTGTTTATTCAATGTGGGCTAGACTCAGAACCATCCAAACTGGCATGCTTCTCTCAAACATTTAGAGTCCTCTAAAATCCTCTTCCAGTTTAAGCAAATAAGCTTGCAGAATGCACAGATGAGTGCATTTTTATATTTATTCACCACCTGAGCCCTCAGCAGGTTTCATAGCAGGTGATACAGCCATAGAGGCTCTGATTGTTCCACACCCCGGAGAATTCGTGCAAGAAGCTGAGCCCGACCTCAGTGAAATGTCTGGATGATAGCGAGACAAAACACAATGGTCTTCTTGCGAGATCCCATTCCATGGAGACACATTAGGAATGAACAAGGGGCAACTTTGTGTGATAATAAAATGAACAATAAAGAAAAACATCCCTGGACATACCTATCTTGGAATAGGGGCAGAAAGAATGTAAGAGGTAGAGGTGGTGGATGACTTTAAGGACAGAGTGTTTTCCAGACACAGCAGGACACTGCACAGGTGAACTCACAGGGATTGTGACAGCATGAACAAGACCTGTGCAAGCTCAAAGCAGACAAAAATCCAGCATGGAGGGGGCAAGGAGGACACAAAATCCCACCCCTAGCTGAGAAGTTATTGGCATTGGATTGCTGGTAGGAGAGGAAGAGTCAACTTTCTTTAATGGTATGACCCTTCTTGACCAACCTTTAGGGAAGACCCGATCGCCAAGACTAGTTGGCTCATACAAACTGGACTTGATGAAGGGAAAAAAAGAAGAAAGCTTTAAGTTGGGTGGGTAGGGAGGTGAAAGTGGAGTTGGAGATGAGGAGTGAATACGATAAAAATACATTGGATAAAATCCTCAAAGAATTAGTTAAATTATTATTAATAAAGAAAAAGTTCATGTGAAGAGCTCTTCTTCATGTCTAGGAAAGAATTCTCTTGTCTTCTAATATTTCTATCAAAGAAGAGGGCAGGGACTGGAGAGATGGTTCAGCAGTTAATTGAATATGGGTTCATTCCCAGCTCTCACATATTGGCTCACAACCATCTCTAACACCAGTTCCAGGGGAACTGTCATGCTCTTCTGACCTTCACATCCACCAGGCATGCATGTGGTGCATGTACATACATCCAGGCAAAATACACATAAAGCAAATCCAAATTAAAAGAGGAGGAGAAGGGTGGATTGAAAGAGTGGACGTGTGGGAAGTGAATTTTGAGTCTAGAATGGCTGAGGAGGTCAGTACATAACAACTGGCAACAAATGTCTGTCCAAGGAAGTCAGGACAGAAGAGGGGCTGCTTTTATATGCAGTCTTCTGTGAAGCACCTCCCCAAGCAGGTCCACAACCAGGGCATGTGGGAGGTTGTAGCTGCTACCCACTGCCTACTGTTAGAACAATGTGAGCCAAGCCAGCCGGACCCCAGGCACTAAAGAATCCCTTCCCAAGGGATGGAAGTCGTGTAAGGAGTAGCCAAATGTGGCTTGGCAGTGCCTTGGCTAAGGACCAAGAGACTAAAGAGACATCATTTGACAGTTTTTCTCATTACAGCTCTCATGTCATAGGGCCCAAAACAACTAAAACAAAGGACAAACCTAGAAAGAGGCTTCATTCCCAGCAGCTCTAATCTAGGACGATTCTCAAACATGGTGCCCACCCTGGCCTGACCTGCTTCATCCTGCACCACTTTTACCCACATCCTCCACCACCACCATACCGCCCTCTGGTTTGTAGTCCAACAAAAAGCTCTTCACGTCCATTCTCTTCAGCTGTTATTCCTTCTTCCTGGCTATTAGTCACCATCTTCCAGCTTACACGGTTTGTCTACATCAACTTGTTTCTCCACTGAAATATTAACATTCCTCTTCTAGTAACAATTTCAGGAAAAAAAAAAAAAAACCCGAGCTATTTCTTTCTGGGTGGGTCTTTTGGCCTTACTGCTGTCCTCAGGCTTCCAGCCCCGGGTCCCTTAGAACAGAGGAACAAATGTGATGCCCTTATCGTATCCACCATCTTGTAGCTATCTATATCCCTTCCTTCTCTAGGGAAGTCAGCGTATTTAATTTTTTCTGTTGAATAAAGGGGTGGGGATACAAAATGAATTGTAGTTCCCTGATTGCCTGAATGGATTTTCTTTACAAGACAAATGAATGTAGCAAAACCTAGTGTTGCTTTTCTAGCTCCAAAAGCTGTTTCCTGGTACTACCTCCCAGCATTCCTCTGTTGTGCTCTGCAGCTTTCTGCCTGAACCCACTGTTAGCACAATTTCACAGCCAGTGGGCCTTCCTCATGCTTGCTTATGGTGTGTTATTTCTTCACAACTTTGAAGCAAATTCCTGTACTACTGTTTCGTGTTCCTGGTTTATCACAGTCTCTGAATGTAATCTGTTCTCTTATCTTCCATACCAACTGTTCATGAATAAACACACTTGAGTCTGGAGAAGTCTTTTCCAGTGTTGAGTTTACCCATGTGGATGCTAAACGTCAGTTTCCACCTTCCTTTCTCCTGTTTCCTAGGCCCAGCAAATTCTGAACTATGCTTTGAAAGGACTTTAGCTCAGCCTTTGGAGTTGCCGTGCACCTCCATGAGATATTCAGATTTCTTTTTCCAATATTAATTTCCCTCCCTTAGAAATTGGCACTACATGATTGGATGGAAAATACTCATTGTGATTATTCCCAGTTAGAATGGGGAAGACTCTGAAAGCCCAACTTGCCGCATTCCTGAGAATGGCCAGATTGTGCAATCTGGGAAAAGCAGACCTGTGTGTGAAGAGAAATCTTTATGTTCTGAAAGATAAATTACGGCCAAGTGGGATTATGCAAGATGAAACAGGGGATTGCTCCACTAACTGAGTGACAGTATATATAGATAGCCTCAGCTACATCTCCTCAACAAGTGACACAAGCCACTTACCAGGAGTCTCAACAGGAACTGACAGCCCAGGGTGAGTTGTCAGAACTTTCCAACATTTGCTCTTTGCAGATTCTTTTCCCTGCCAGCATTCACTTGTTGTGTTTTCCTGCTCTGTCTCTTTCCTGAATCTACCAGATGGATTAGAATTCACTGGAGGCGAGATTTTTACCATGGAGATTTGCTGTATGCTTCTGTGTGAATTCAGGGGAGGGTGGAGTCAGCCCTCTACAGATAGACTGCAGAGGTCTATGATGATTATAAAGCCCCTACATGCCTCTCTGGAAACTTCCTATACAGTTGGGTTTTGGCTGGCAAGATTGGAATACAATGTGCTTTATGCTAATGGTCCATTTGCAAACTCTCAGTCAGTGGGAGTCTAATGAAACATGTGGAAATGGGGAGCTAGATGGCTGTCTGGAATCCACTTATATCATCCACCTCTACACGTGTGTGGTTTTATGTATAAAATCCAGAGGGATTGGTTACTGGCATAAAAGGACAGCTCAACATTACAGAAGCATCCGCTGCCCCAAGAAATGGCACATTCATCCTTGTGTTTTCCCAGCCCTACAGCAGGATGAAGTCATCCATTGCCATCATTTTTTGCTTCTTGGTCCTGGGAGTTGACAGCCAAAGATGGTTCCAGTTCATGAAAGAGGCTGGTCAAGGTAAGGGCAAAGGATGGGGACAGGCGGTTGTATTTGTGAGTTCCAAGTAGTTACCAGAGCAGGGACCACATAATTAAGGGATAATGTGCTTATGAAGTCTCCATGGATAGACAAGCTGCATTGCTCTTCCCATGGAGTTCTTAACTCTTCTGGTCAGTGTTTACCTTTTTCTGTGAGGATCCCAAGCCTGAGATCACGTAATGTTTGTACAGAAGCTTTCCCACAGCAGTGTAGGAACAATCTGTATTTGAAAGTTGCAGATTCGCCAACAGAAGAGGGGATCTGCTGCCCCCTTGTGGCAGTTCACGTCTATGTCTGGTGACTGTGAATTGAAGTGCATCCCAAGGGTAGTGTTCCAGGCCAGGCACAGGAGAACCACTGCAGTCCACAGTCCACAGTGACAGCAGCCAAGGCTAACTGAACTTTTCACACAATGAAAAGGCATTGTTCAATATGTGTGGAAATGAATTAGTTTTTAAATTAATCTTGTGGTGTAGTGCCACATCTATCTTTTAAGGAAACCGAGGCACAAAGCATAATAAGCTATCTAACAACAACAAAAACCTCTGGAAGAACAGAGGTTAGCCCAGGTTGGCCAGCTCCTCATAATCCACAACAAAGCTCCCCGGACAGAGAGGACTTCATGAGCACACACTCACTGTTGACCTGAGAAGCAGCAGGTCATGGGTTGGGGAAGGCAGCTGCCTGTGAAGGACGCTCCAGATCCTCTGCCACCCACAGAAGACAGTGACTTGCTTACCTGGAATATAGGTCTTCTGGGGCTCAGACATGGACAAGAAACTGTCACCAAAGGAAGTATATCCCACCAGCCACAGCACAATAAAAATTAAATGAACCTAGATATTGGGCTTTCCCTTTTCTCCTAACTTGTCACTTTTGAAGACATTTCCCATTTAATGTTAGCTGGATCTGTCCTTCAGTGCACAGCTCACCACAGCTGCCCTTAGTTTACACCTTTTGCTGTTTGTGGTACCTTCCTGAGAAACAGAGAAATGAGATGATAAATTGAGCATCTTCCATGAACATCCCACGTTCATTTTCTCAGGTTTTCTGCCTAACCACCAAGGTGGCTAATACTCTTCCCTGTTCTTGGAGAGGATGTAGATGTTTCAAGTCTAGTGTGCCCTTTGCCACCTAGAGTCTCTGATCATCCAGCTTGTTTCTGTCTGTATCAGAGAACTCACTGTTGTTTCCGCTGATGGAGAGCTGAGAACAGCTCAGGTTACAATAGATCCTGGACATTCCGTGGGGTCAGAGCAGAACTGCACTCACTCTGCCCGGAGAGCAGTTTCTCCCATGGCCTGTGCTAGGAGAGAGCTGTGGCTGCAGTGGTGATTGTAGCACTTGGGAGGCTGAGGCAGAAGGATTGTGAGTTTCAGGCTGGCCAGGGTTATATAGAGATGCATGCTGTCTCTAAAGGAAGAGAACGTAAGAGAAAGGAAAGAAATGGAAGAATAAGAGAGGGGAGTGGAGGAAGGGAAGAGGCCTCACGTCTCACACCATAGACAGATGTTTCCCTGGGCCATTTCAGAGAGAGCTTCATCATCACATGATGAACATCCCCTAGAGAGCTTCTCTCCTCTATATGCTTTTGGAGCAGCCAAAGACCAACAGCAACAGAGTTAAGACAGGAATCCCTTAGAATAAAACTCGTCCCAAAAGCACTTCTCCTTGCAAGGCATGGGGAAGTAAGAACTATTCTTTTCAAGTCAGTGACATTTCTGTGGTTTGTGAAAGGCTGAAGTCATTGGGATGAGTTGGACGGAAGTTTTTTTTTTTTTTTTTTTTTTTTCGAGACAGGGTTTCTCTGTGTAGCTTTGCGCCTTTCCTGGGACTCACTTGGTAGCCCAGGCTGGCCTCGAACTCACAGAGATCCACCTGGCTCTGCCTCCCGAGTGCTGGGATTAAAGGCGTGCGCCACCACTGCCTGGCCGAGTTGGACGGAAGTTTTAACCCTCTCTTCTGCCTAAATGCAACCTTCCTCATCATTCTCCTAACTCTCCAGGGACTAGAGACATGTGGCGCGCTTACTCTGACATGAAGGAGGCCAATTGGAAAAACTCAGACAAATACTTCCATGCTAGAGGGAACTATGATGCTGCCCAAAGGGGACCAGGAGGAGCCTGGGCTGCTAAAGTGATCAGGTAACAGAGGTCTCAGTGAGCAGAGCTTGACTGCTCTGGACAGTCAGGAGGTCTCTCCTCTGTATCCTGTGCACACTGCCCATTAACCGTCCTCTTTTCTGTACATAGTACTAGGAGTGGTTGGCAATGATGGTTGATACCCCACCCTCTCTCCCCTGGTGCTGCTCATTCAGCATGAGGGTGACTTCCTGGGCTGAACAGGTGTTTATTCAGGTGGGATCAGTACCATCCTCTCCTTCCCTGGTGTTCCTGGACTCCTCTTACAGTCATCTCTTGAAGAAGGGAGTCCAGAGGGTGGGGCCATTGCCATCATTTTGGTTACAGGTCTTCTTCTTGTCTATCTTGATTGCAGTGATGCCAGAGAGGGTATTCAGAGATTCACAGGACGTGGAGCAGAGGACTCAAGAGCTGACCAGTTTGCCAATGAATGGGGTCGGAGTGGTAGAGACCCCAACCACTTCCGACCTGCTGGCCTGCCTAGTAAATACTGAGTTTTCTCTTCATGTTGTTCCCAGCCATGCAGACCCCAAGGAAAGAGGCAATTACTGAATTGAATTAGTTCCTAAACTCTGGATCCCTAAGCACCCCAAAATGTTGAATAAATACTTGTGAAATGTAACTTGTCACTGTCATTTGAAAGAGCACAGGGTAGTCATATTGAGGATTGTGGGCCATGGGAATGACCAAGAAACACCACTGTTTTTGTTTTTTAAAGAAAGATATGAAAAGATAGGAATTGGAGTATAACTCTATATGTCCATACATGGACCAAAACATGTATTATGTATCCCCTCAAACACAGGCAGATAGCAAGAAAGTGCTGTGTACTGTTTTGGTTATGAAGTTAAAAACTAGATAAAAACCAACACATTCTGGGCTGAGGATATAGCCTAATAACAGAGTGATTGCCTGGCATGCATGAGGCCCTTCCTTCCAACCCATGTCCTTCCTATAAAAAAATCAATAAATTCTTGCTTAGCAAAATATAACTTACAAAGACTGAAGATGAAATCAAAGCCATCCTGTAATTATTTTAAGAGATTGATGCTTCACAAAGAAAGCCTCAGATCTAGATGTTAACCCCCCAAAAAGGCAAGTCACTCTTATTTTGTAAAATTAATTCTGGTGAGAAGACAACATATTCTGCAATATGTCTCTGGGATAGATATCTTTGGCACCTCCCTCCCTACAACCTGTAAGAAATTATCAAAAAGCAAAAGTATGCTGACCTATGATGGACTGACTCCAGCAGTGACCAGCTCCAGGTTCCAGGTATAGCCTGGGACTGCTCCCTTTACACAATCCCTGAAGAGTCTCCAATCTTGGAAACTGGGGCTCAGATATTCCATGTTGTTCCTTTACCCAACCATAGCCTTCCCTGGGTCATGCTGGCTCAGGTAGTCCTTTTCTGTCTGGGCAACTGTGTCCTCTGTCATTAGCTGCCTCCTCCAATTCTGGTCTCCTGTTGTTCCCTTCCTTGCTTCGGTGGCCTAGTCCCAGGAGTTCTTGAATCTCTTACCCACTCCTTTGCTGAGGTGTAAGCTAGTTTGTATTCATAGTATATATATATATATATATATATAAGTTCTTGCCTGCTGAGGCCAGGCTGCAGGCCTTAACATAGGCAGAAGACAGAGAGGCCCCAGCAGAGGAGTCCAGTTTCACATTGTCCAGTAGAATCTTTTTGAAGGCAGCAGAGGAGAGGGTTTTCTGACCAGTCATGGTCTGCAGCTCCTGTGTGCAGATGCAGGAGGCCTCCACAGAATTGATAAGCAGGGAGCAAAAAGCCTCCACTTTGCAGCACACACAAGGCATGGATGGTGGCCCCACCAGGAGAGCAGACACTATCCTTGAGCTGCCAAGGATGCTGTTCTAAGTCTAGTAGCATCTTGGCTGCCCCCAGGAGGGTCTGGGCCCCAAGGCAGACTGTCAGGCCCCTTGACAACTCCATTTTCACACCAATCATCCGCCAGAGCATCCAGGGCTTGAAAACATAGGCAGGGCCGCTGCCACTGAGTCCTGTGACAACTGAGCCCTGTGACAGCATTGGTCAAATCTCCCTCCACTTCTGTCCAGAAGTCCACACTGCCCATGAGCCACTCTCTGAGCTGGCCATCCTCTACCTGAGCGTGAGTGCATGTGGCATGCACAGTAACCCCCTCCTGCACAGCAACTGGGGTGTCAGCCACACAGTGGATGATTTTGGGAGCTGTCAGCTTCTTTTCAGTGGAGTTGATGATGGCATCTGCCACAGAGAGCACCATGATGGGCCTGACCTCAATGTCAGCACCAACTTCATCAGGATGAACGGATGATATGTGGCTTCACAGCCAGGAAGAGCACATCACTGTGGCACACTGTCTCTCTGTTGTGGGGTGTCAGGTTCACCCCCATCCTCCAGAGGGCAGAGACTGTGGCTTGGTCCACGGCCTGGGAGCTGTCCTTTATCTCGTGAGCAATCAGAACACTGGCTGCTATGAAGTCCTCTGCTTTTCTCTCTCTCTCTCTCTTTTTAAAGAACGGTATGTAGTCCAGGTTAGCTTTGAGCTTTTCAATTGCTGGGATTATGCTTAAGAGTCAACATTCCAAGTTCCACTTTTTTTTTTTTTTTTTTGGTTTTTCGAGACAGGGTTTCTCTGTAGTTTTGCGCCTTTCCTGGAACTCACTTTGTAGACCAGGCTGGCCTTGAACTCACAGAGATCCGCCTGCCTCTGCCTCCCGAGTGCTGGGATTAAAGGCGTGTGCCACCACTGCCCAGCCCATTTTTTTTTTTAAGAGAGTTGCCCAGATAGACTTTAACTTCCAGACTTAGGGCATTCTCCCATGTCAACCCCTCAAGCTCACACCACCTGGCTGACTCAGTTCTTCACTTTCTTCTCTCCTTGCTTGAAGTTTCTGCCCTTGGATTTTCTAGCTCAAAAACACACCAACTATCCCAATAGCAGGCCCTTGCCCACAGAAAGGCCAGCCTAAGGTTCAGCCAGGAAGGGACATCACTTATAACTGGGGACCTCCATTTGTCTTCAGGTACCAGCCCAAAACAGGGTGGATTCTAGACCTCCACCTCTTCAGCTTTCTCTGGAGCTGAGAACTGTGGGGCCTTCACTCTGCCTGGTTCCAAGGTCAGCTGGCTTAGCCATGGCCCCCTTCCTGTGATCCACTCACAGGTGGTTGCCTGTCCTTTCTGTGGGGACCAGCTGGTCTCAGACATCCTGTGCCTCCTTCCAGGCACTTAATCCTCTACCAGTGATCCCACTAGGCATTTGGGAAAAGGACATCTCAGGTAGTTGGTGAAACTCCTGCTTGTTCCTGAACTGACTCACCAAACACTGGTACTACTTGTCCTTTCCTTTCAGTTGATAAAAAATCTTCCCCTGCCCAGAAAATATTTCAAAGCTGTTTCTCCTTGCTCTTTCCTCACTCCCGCTCTAGATTAGGAGGGAATCTGACCTGCAGCACAGCAGATCCACAACCTCAATCCGATGTCCCCATAGCACTCTGTCCAGGCCTTCTTGAAAATCAGTCTGTCCATGTCAGCGTTTATAATGAGTGTATCTCACCTCCTGCTCCGACACTAGGTAATCGATGAAAGCCTTGATTGACAGCTCCTCTTCCTGTCTAGGTGACCATGGGACACCAGGTGACCACTGTACTCAATTCTTTATTTTTTTTATTCCATTGGATTCTTAAATTTTAATTACCACCTCCCTGGCAGGTTGGGGCACAGACAGCTTAAATCACACATTCAAGTCACATAGCTAGTTTAAAGATAGACCCAACCTTCTTAAAGATTTGCTATAACTAGCAATTGTATTGAAGTTGGCATTTCGTAAACCACTTTCATAGGCTGGCAGTGTATCTCAGCAGTTGAGTCCTTGCCTACCTAGGTTCAATCTCTAGCACCTTGGAAATAAAACAACAGAGAACACACACACACACACACACACACACAGTCACACTTGCATCCATATAATTAGTTCAGTTAATCATTCCTCTAATAGATGTACTCCAACTGATCCTCAGAAGGAACCTGATAAAGCCCATGGCAAGGCCCTCTGGTGTGTATGGATTAGAGCAGCACGGGCCAAAGAGGAGGCAAGAACCGAGCTGGCACAGACCACACATTGTGTCAGGGAGCTGCAGAGAGAGCTCTAGGGATGGAGTGCGGTGGGGGTGTTGGCATATGAAAAATCCACCATGCACACACACTCACTAACACACACACACACACACACTCACACATACTCACACACACCATACACCACACACACACACACACACACACACACACACACACACACACACACACATATACCACACACACCACATACACATCACACACACATATGTGATGTCAGCTAAAATACCTGTTAGGCCCAAAGGACACAGAACCATCTTATGTATTGTCATGGGTATGACTTTTCTTCCTTTCCTGCCTCTCACTTCTGCATGCCCCTTCTTGTGGCAAGCCACAAGAATATATGATAGAGATTCAGCTGTGTATTAAAGCTATACGTTGACCGACCAAGGGTCTGTCAAAAGGCAAGCCATTTATTATGAATATTTGGTGTTATCCAGCTTTTAATATTTCAGCTGTCTTCTGCTATGAAATTCTTTTTTTAAGATTTATTTATTTATTTATTATGCATACAGTGTTCTGCCTACATGTATGCCTGCAGGCCAGAAGAAGGCGCCAGATCTCATTACAGATGGTTGTGAGCCACCATGTGGTTGCTGGGAATTGAACTCAGGTCCTCTGGAAGAACAACCAGAGCTCTTAACCACTGAGCCATTTCTCCAGCCTCTGCTATGAAATTCTTGCATGCCCAAATATTCCTAGACCATTTGGCAAACAGTTCAGCTCCTCAGACCGGCTGAACTTCTAGGTAACTAACTCCCCTGCTGAGCCTAGGAGACAAGCTGGCTGGAGACACATAGCTTTGTTTCTTGTACAAATGAAGCTCAGACCATCCCCTTGCCTGGAGACCTAGTGGCTCTCCAGAGCAATTGACTTAGAACAAAAGAGGTTTTTACATATCAAGATGGAAGGTAGGGTGGAGCAACATTCTGGAGGAGTCAAAAAACCGAGTGGCCAGGGGGAAAGGGAACAGGCATTTTCTGTAGAGGCAGACAGAATGACATGACCAGGGAGATGAGAAGAACACAGGTTTTGTAGATGGTAAGGCAGAACTTTTGTAGAGTTCATCAGAGCCAGGAGTAGAGAGCAAGTAGAGATGGAGGGTGAAGAAACAGAGGACGAAGATGAGGCTGGAAGCATAAGAGCTTAGTTGTTAGCAGGACTCTAAGAGGGCAGTAAAAGAGGGGACAAAGAGGAACTGAGTGTCAGGACGGAACTGAAGCTATGTAGACAGGATTTTATCCCAGAGAAATATAGTAGACAGACAAAGAACTCGGTGTATCTAGATTTATTCCTGCCCTGAATGCCTGATGGAGCTGTAGCTGTAAAGATAAAATTTTGTCTTAATGAAATAAAGTTAACAGACATAAGAGCATAGTGTCCGTTGATTTTTTTCCCTGAGATATCCCACACCGGATGTAGCGTCTTCCCTGGACATATCCATATCTGGCACCTGAACAGGATACTCATAGGACCAGGGTTTAAGCTACGTTTTGGATCTCACCACGGGTGATACAGACCTGGGTATCTTCGTACCTTGTGAGCGGTGAGTGAAACTGCATAGATAGAATTGGCGTAGAAGAATAAAATGAATAGACTAAAGAAAAGTCCATAGATAGAATTGGCTTAGAAGAATAAAATAAATGGACTAGAGAAAGCTGGATAGAAAAAAATTGAATGGATTAAAGAGCTCCGTGTATCTAGATTCATTCCCACACTGCTGGCAGTG